TTATTTTAAGTAACCTGTAAAAGATTGATAAGCTGTAAAAAAAAACAAATCAAACAATGAGTTCTTCTTTATTTTGCATGGACTTTCAACCTGATTGGTTGCATGAAGACTTCCAAATTTGATTCAACAACTTTTTGACGCCATTAAAATCTTTCATTTCTGATTTAGCAGCTTCTGTTTAACCTGTAAAGTGTAAATGGATGTATTAGCATGTTGCATTATTGATGCATTGCGTCATATTAAAACCTTTGTCAATAACCATATATTAACTGCATCAGTAATATTAACTACATAATCTTTTATAAATTTGCATGAGGCTAAATTTTGTCTGTGTGTCCCCACCTTACATCACTAGAGCATAAAAAAGCTTACCTCATTAAACAATCATTTCATGATCAGCTTTTTATATATATATATATGTATATATATGTATATATATATATATATTACTAACAAATAGTGTTTACAACATAAGTTGTAGTAATTAATTTGCATAACAATTATTAAAAGCATATATTAATAAATATTTCATGTTGTTTATTTTTATTTCAAATTTTAAAAGTTGCCATATATAAGCAATATTTATGTCAGTTTTTTTTAATTTATAGTGTTTGTATAGAAAGAATTTATATCAGCTTAGTCAAAATTCAGCTACCAGAATACAAGCATGTTTACATTTAAAGAAAACATAAAATAAATGTAATCTTACCTTCCAAAATATTTTTTAAGAAGCAGTCATTAAGTAAATAATTTTAAAAATATTAAAATTTTTATAAAATTCTATAATTTTGAGCTCGCCAATGTTAGTTTGATTCTCATTTTCTGCAGTGTTCATAGTAACCATTGTTGTTGTCTGACATTTCACTTTAGTACAAGTTAGTTGAATGGAGCCGAAAAGAAAATTTCATAGAATTATCTAAGTAAGTCAAAAATTTGTTTAATTAGATTTTTTTTAAAACTGTGCAAAGTTATTTGGAGAAGTGAAAAACAAATAGTAAATTTTCTGAATTTAATGAATTAATAATTATTGTTGTCTTTTCTTCTGCACGGTTTTCCATTTTTCAACTGGAATTCTTGCATTATGTGTGTTCTTCATTAAGTTGTACCATCTCAAGCAGCACCTTTTATAGAATATTTTCAGAGCCAAACAATTCAGACTTTTTAAGTAATAGGATACAAGGCTTTCTTTTAATTTTCTTAATGTAAGTCTTTAGGTTTGGTGATGTAAACCCTAATGCCTTGTTAATTTGGGGGACAATAAAGGCCTGAACTTTCCATGTTCTGGTAACCTCTATCAGTGTAAGCTTTTCACTTTCTTTAACCTTAATATTATGGTCACCTGGAACAGCCACATTGATGAGGCATTATCCTTTTTCTTTTTCAATGATGATATCTAAGTTGCTATCTTCATGGATGCAATCTGTTTCGATGTTGAAGTTCCATAAGCTCTTGACAGTTGTTTATGATCAGCTCTTTGTGGCAGTACCATTTCAGTTTGACTTCAAGTTTATACTTCCTATATAGGTGCACCATTGCTTATGGGAGGTGACGTTATCATGGTGACAGTTGTATTCTTTCTGTACAAGCATTCCACAAGCACTAATGATGTAAGTGACATTTTCCACCCCCATATCACGCAACCTGCATTTGTCCAGATCCACTTTTTGGTAGATTTTCTTCTAGACAGAATTGGTATTCAGAGCTCAGTCTTTGGTGGCTTTCAGTTGTGCTTTTTCAGTTCACCTTTTGTCCACCAATCCTTTGAGTCTTTTGTCTTGATGGCTTTGTTGCCCTCCCTCTCAAACTGTCCTTGAAGTGGCAATGCAGAAATATCTGTGTTAATGTCCAGACATGCAGTAAACTCACTGAGAGTCATAGATTTCTAGTTTTGATTAGATATCTCTAAGGAAAATTGTTCTCCTTGAGCCTTGTTTGTCAATCCACCTAGTGTTGTTGTCACAAACAAAATGCACTAAGGAAGGAATAACCCTGTATGAACCAACTCATTCTTACAATGATGAAATGAATTATGAAATAATAAACTACCAAGGTTGTGAATATGTCGAAGGGGTTTCCACAGGGCAATTGGAGGAGTCATGGTGAGGCATGGTAGGTGTGGAGTGGTAATCCAGGCTCCTACTAGTTGTCATTTTACTATTGGTAAATCACAGAATAATAGTTAATCGGTATTCATGCAGACCATCAAGAAAACATAATTATTATTCCTATTGTTAGAAAATTATTCAAATGTTTCTCTCATATGTAGCTGTGTCCAGAGTACCAAACTGAAATGCAGTTAACATAATGGCAAAAAGAACTTTAGAAAATAGATGTCTTGCTGAAAATATTGTTTATAGAGAAAATTTAGAGTTAAAGAACACTTTTATTAATACTTACTTTTCTCTGTCCCTAGCATATTTGGCTAGTATGATAAATAAGAACAAACACAGGTATTGAGGCATAGACAAATGTCAGTTCATGCCTTCTGAGGAAAACATGCAAATTTGCTTTCATAAAGTTTTTCATCAAATAAAACAATTTCCACCAAAAACCTTTTCAACAGATAAAAAAGATAATTTAATACAAAATTGAATTTATTTTTAAAATTAAAATAAAAAAATTACTTCTGCATAAAAATTGACTTTCAAAAGTTTGCTCTTCCCCACCCTTCCTTGAATCCTTCACTAATTTTCGTAGAATCCCTGATGAACCTCCACCTTGTATTATTCTTTTCATCTTGATTGAGACATAAGAATGCAATTGTACCCCTCTACTAAATCTTGGCTTACAGCCATATCATGTTGAAACACTGGTTCTTGTATGATCACCAGAGTTAAGCAATGTCAAATCTGGTCAGTACCTAGATTGGTGACCGCTTGGGAATACCAGGTGCTGTAAGTGTGAATGTGCATGTGATATATTGGATAAGTGCTCAGGATAGTTAATTGGAGAACTGAGTTCTAATTCACATTGGGTTTGTTATATACCCTAAGGAAAAGTATGAATACACCTCTTCTCCTCCCAGCTATGGGTTGATTAGTAGGAAATCATTATTATTTCCATAAAACTTCTTACAATCTAAAAATATTTTCTGGCTTTAAATAATCCACAAAAGGGTTGATAAGCTATAAAAAACAAATCAATTAGTCAAAAACTAAATCCTGTCTTGTACCTCATTCTAAGTTTTACCCACAAATAAAGCCATTTCGGTAATCTTGAATCTTCGTGCCCAGAAAAAAATAGTGTCAAAAGAACAGTTTTTTCCCTGTATGTAAATAGTGTACATAATACCTCATCTCAGAAATATAGACAGATATTGACTTTACCAGTCCAGAACTTTGATTTTTATTAATCTAGACCTTTCTGAGTAGCTTTAGCTGCATATTTCGGCTATTGTCCTGCTATAAGACAAGATTATAATTCATATGGAGTTAATTTCAAAAGATTCTCATTGAGAATTTGTCAGTGCATGGTACTGTCCATTGTTCTTTTTAAGGTGACAATTTCTTAGCACAGATATAAAGAATCACTTGCAAAGCATCAAAGCTCCATCCCCATGCTTGGCAGTGGATTTAGTATTTTTTAGATGATAGGCTATGCTTATTTTTATTCATATATAGCATCTTGAATTTTGGCCAGGTTTAAAAGACTTTAGGTGACAGAGATATAGTTCTACAGAACAATGCTAAAGATATCATGGACTGAGCATGTGACCAATGATGAGGTCTTAGAGAAGTTGAAAACAAGGAGGAGGCTTATACTTAACATCAGGAAGAGGCAGCTGAAATTTCTGGGACACATAATGAAGGAGGGGGGCCTGGAGAATCTGATACTCATAAGTCGAATAGAGGGAAAGAGAGACAAGGGAAAGCAGTGTGTGATATCCTGGCGGGTTTAAGCAAGTAGATGACAGAATGTGGTCTGGGGGAGGAAGCAGAGGGAAGGAACTTGTTGAGAGCTGCATGGGATAGAGGGAGGTGGAGAGCCATAATTGCCTACATCCTGAAAGGACATGACACTTAAAATGAAAGAAGAGGCATGGTATTTTTTTTTTTTTGCACTAATGCCCTTGGGAAAAATATGAATCTATCTCTTCTTCCTCACTAGCTAAAGCAGGGTAGACTGGGTTCTCTAGACTTTGGGTAAAAATTCAGGAGAAAAAAAACTACTCATAAATTAAAACTATAAATTAGGTAATGAGAAACAACAATTTTTTCCAAAAAGTCATAGAAATTCACAGATAATAAATCAAAAAGAATTGGTAGAGAGCCATGATTGCCTGCTTACATCCTGAAGAGACATTGTGAATTCTTTGGTCTGAATGTGCTTAATTCTTAGCAGCTTAAAAAAAAAAACAAACAAAAACACCTGTCTTTTAAGCCAGTTTTGTATAATATTCTGGAAAGTTTATACTGCATAATCCTTTCATTATAAAGAAGCATTTTTATTAGCCATTTCCTAATCACTCATACATTGGTAACACCATGTTAAATAAGATTTATTTGGGGCCGGCTACTATATTTATTAACACATACAGATTAAGGCAATGACTGCTTTGTATGACACTTCCTTCAGTTTCAAACAGCTGATTTAATTTTGCTTACAGATAAATTAAATGCTTTGGCAATTTTTTTAATTGTACTTTGTAATTGCTTTGTTCAAAGAAGGCACAGTGGAGTAATGGATAGTGGCTAGGATTGAGGAATTGTAGAGCCGAGTTTGAATTCCAGTCGAATCCATTACATTCACTTACATGCTAATACCCTTGGGAAAGGTATGAATCCTCTTCTTCTCCCCCCAGCTATGGGTAAATAGCAGGACAAACTGGGTTCTATAGCCTTGTATGGCAACTGGTCTACTGCAGAAAGAAATGGCAACCAACTCGGGAAAAAATCTGCCTTGTCAGTCATGCATCGAAAGATACATGATCGCCTAAGTGTGTATCATGCATGGCACATAACTGACTGAATTTCTTTATAAAGCAGGCTTGCAATGACAACATGTTGAAACCCCAGCTCCCGTTTGATCATCAAAGTTAAGCAACATCAAGCCTGGTCAGTACCTAGATGGGTGACTATTTGGGAATTAAGCTTGTAAGCTTGGATGTGTGGGTGGTGTAATGGATAATGACTTGGAATTGTTAATTGGAGAGTTCCAATTCCAGTTAGGTTTGTTATATTTACTTACCTGCAAATACCTTGGGGAAAGTTATAAACCCACCTCTTCTCTCCCCAGCTACTAGTTAATTAGTAAGACTTGTATAATAATCTATTGTTATCTCCAAAGAAAAATTCTTACACTCTAAAAACATTTTCTGGCTTTAAATAACCTGCAATGGGTTGATAAGTCGTAGAAAACAAATCAATCAATCTTTTATAGACAGCTCCTTTCCATTTCATCAAAGTTTTGTCACAAAAAACACAAGTTGATGATGTTAGTTGGATACAAGTGAGACTGATGGAATAAAGGATATAATTTTTGTTATAAATTATGTTGTAATCTAGGGAAGGTTACTGAATAGAATAATCATATGAAAGTTGGTAATGAACGATAATACTTAAAACAAGATTTATACTTCATTCTACTGAAGTGGTATGTATATCGACTGAGGTGGTATCTATATCATAAAAATGTTTTCAACAAAGTGATACAGAATGAAAACAAATATACAAGCTGAAATTTCATGAAATACATATTCCATAAAATGGGATAAAAATTGGAAAAGGTACACCTTTTAATTGAAAAAATATTTGAGTCCAAATGTCTAGATTTTTTCAAAGACATATCCTACTTACTGACCAGCTGGAGAGGAGTGCTTATCCATTACAGTCTGTGACCCTATGTAAATGCTGGGCTTACATTCATATCACACTGACACATTAGTTCTTGTACAGTCACCAAGGTTAATCAACATCAAGCCTGGTCAGTACCTAGATGGGTGACCACTGGGGAATATCTGTAAGCTTGGATGTGCAGGTGGTGTAATAGATAATGGCTTGGAATTGGAAATTGGAAAGCCGAGTTCCAATTCCAGTCAGGTTCATTATATTCACATATGCAAAAATAACCTTGGGAAAGATATGAACACCTCTTCTCCCTCCAGCTATGGGTTAATTAGTAGAACTTGTATCAGTAAAAACATTATAATCTCAAAAAAATTCCTAAAATCTAAAAATATTTTCTGGCTTTAAATAACCTGAAAAAGTTTGATAAGCTGTAGAAAACAAATCAAACAAAGAGAGAAGAATTAATTTCTTTTTGAAAACATGAATTTTTAAAGGTGGCAATCAGCTGCTGCTGTTACTACATATACCCTCAGCAGCCAATTGTCTCTGTTTGAATTTCTGAGATGAGAGTTATCATTATTTATCCTATTTACTTTCAGACTATTGTCCTCATCTTTGTTGTTATCACAACATTTCAGCTGTTGTGCTCTCCAGCCTTCATCAGGTATATTTTGATCTAGGTAACCTACATTATATTCTGAACTGAACCTTTTATTTAATTTATGGGAGTAGCTAATTATTTTTTTTGTTGCTATTGTGACATAAACTCATTACACTACCAAATATATATTCAAACATGCTTCTATTGCCATTAATAGTGACACCATGCAGTTAAAAATCTTAATTATCAATCAACCCTTATAGTTTTAACTATTTTTTTTTGCTTGACTTATGCTGTTTACTAAGCTTAGTTCACTAAATACTAGCAGGAATATCTGGCATTAACCAGGGCAGGGTGTGAGAAATAAATCCAAATACATCTTCAGTATAGTGGTATAGACTGAAAAATAAAATACAATGGATTTAATTTTAAATGAATTTTAATCTGCTATAAGTTTGGCATTATACAATGTCAACAGTGTTTTAAATACTTTGGAAGTGGATCTTTGGATGATAAAGTTACAGTCAAAACAGTATTTCTTTTTCTAAAGCAAAAACTGTTTTTATAAAAGAATTTTGACATTGTCTATAACATGTGGCTATGAAGGCAGCTTAGTCTATAACATGTGGCTATGAAGGCAGCTTAGTCTATAACATGTGGCTATGAAGGTAGCTTAGTCTATAACATGTGGCTATGAAGGCAGCTTAATGGTAATCATTAGGAAAAATGAAATCAGCAAGCCAAGTTCAAATTCCATCCAAAGCTGTGGTGTTTGCTTTACAGTAACATCCTAAACAAAAACTTGAATCTTTCTCTTTTATGAATAAAAATAGAAAGGTAGACTAAACTCTTTAGTTTCAGTAGGGTGACCATTTGCAACTATGGAGAAAGCAGTTGGAAATCATTTAACTACTTTTCCCATGAACAGTAATGGTCATTCACAATTTACAGATATTGAAATAAAAAAGAAAGCAGTGGACAGTTATGATCACATAAAAAATAAAAATCAACTTCATGCAAGTACAAACCAGTATCATAATTACAACTAAATTTGTCCTTGAAATATTGGCTTGTTAACATGTTTTAGTTTTTACTTGTTTAATTGGTAACCCTATTAGTTTTTGTTTTTTTTCATTATCAACCAATGTTGGACAGTTAAGATTTCTTGTCTACTTATAATCTCTTGTTTATGAAATTTAGAAGTTTACATTAACCTAATATTAAATTAAGGACACATTTATGAAATCACTTATGAAAATGGACAGCAATATTTAACAGTATAAACTGTTACATTGGATATCATGATGTAAATGGCTCCCTTTAAAATTTTCTTTATGCCAAGAGAGTTGACTGCAAATAATTTTTTATTTATTCTTGAAAGATAAATATAGCTTTTCAAACATCATTAAAAGTCTATCAGTTATATCCAATAATCAGGACTGGATTTAGACATAATCTAAACAATCTATAGCTTCAAGCTTCTCATTTTAAAAGAACTTCTCTACCAGTAGTGTAGCTTAGGTGGAAAAGGGTGTTATTCTATTACCTGTTGCTAATTAGGGTCTCTGCAACTTCACATAGTTTAGTGGTGTTCTATATCTAAATCCAATCTTGTTAATGACTGACATCATTAGTTTTAATGGTAGTGATTAATCTATTTTTAGATTAAAGTTTCTAAGTTAAAACTTTAGCTAAATTCTTGTTATAAAGATTGTATTTTTCTTTTTCTGTAGAGAAAAAATGACCGCGTACGAAGATACAAGACTTGATGGAATGGATTGGAAGCTGGAGTTCCCTTCCCTCAAAGTGTTTTGTCCATCAAATTTTCCTTTTGGTTCTGAAAGTCTTGCTGACTTTTTTTTCCCCTCTTGTTTGTTTCTCCCCAATCCACTTTTGATTCCTGAGAAAATTATTACTTTTGTAGTTTAAAAAAAACAAGCAAAAAAAAGAAAAAAAGTTTCTGAAGAATTCTGTCGCATGCAGTTAGGAAAAAAATTATAAAATAAATTAAACACATTTTTTTTTAGGTGTATTTTTTGTTTTATACAAAATTTCCATTATTTTTCTGTTGCAAGTTCTAGTCTTTCTCTGATACTTAGTTGCTATTAAATATGTCCCCAAAAGAGACCCATTTTAAATATGTCTCTGGAAGACAGCTGTTTTAAATATGTCTCTGGAAGAGAGCTGTTTTAAATATGTCTCTGGAAGAGAGCTGTTTTAAATATGTCTCTGGAAGAGAGCCGTTTTAAATATGTCTCCGGAAGAGACCTGTTTTAAATATGTCTCCGGAAGAGACCCGTTTTAAATATGTCTCCGGAAGAGACCCGTTTTAAATATGTCTCCAGAAGAGATCTGTTTTATATTGGAAAACCTGTAACTTTTGGACCAAATTTTTTTTTTTTTTCTGAGAAAGCTTTTTCTGATTCTGTAATAAATTGACCAATTTCAAAAATGTGTCTGTCCAAAATATTGCTTCATTTTGAAAATTGATTTTCTTACCAACTATTGATTTACTTGCATTTTCTCTTTTGGTTTCTTCGTTTTACAAAGAAATTTTAATAAAATTTGTTAACATAAACAATTCTACTTTTAGTAAATAGAATATTATTTCATTATACTTGGTAGATAGGTTCCAAGACTCTCCACAGATGGTGAAATCTATAAATGGTGAATTACATTTACGTATATCCAAATATTTTCACAACAAAATCAGCATCCATTTTAAAAATGTAATTAAAATCCAAAACTATTTTTTTCCTTTTTTTTTTTTTCCTTTTTTCCTTTTTTCTTTTTTCTTTTCTTTCCTTTTTTTTATTTTTTTCCTTTTTCATTTTTTTCACTTTTTTCTTTTTTTACTTTTTTGCCTTTTTTTTTTTTTTCCGTTTTTCTTTTTTTTGCCTTTTTCCTTTTTTATTTTTTCCTTTTTTTTCCTTTTTTTCCTTTTTTCTTTTTACCCTTTTTTCTTTTTTTACCTTTTTTCTTTTTGTTTTTTTTTTCCTTTTTTCTTTTTTTCTTTTTCTCCATTTTTCTTTTTTGTTTATTTTTTTCATTTTTCCTTTTTTCCTGTTTTTTTCCTTTTTAGAAAGAAACCAATATATAAATTATAATATAGCATTTGCACTTCAATATTTATTTTATTGTTGATGTATTTTACTATTTACCAAAAATCTATTTGCTGATAGAGATGTATCTTCCTGCACTTAGAAATACATTTGACTTAGCAAACCAACCGTAAAAATAGGCTTATGGCAATATCATATTGAAACACTGATTCTCTTACACTCACCAAAGTTAAGCAATGTCAAGACTGATCAGTACCTAGATGGATGACTGCTTGGGAATACCAGGAGCTGTAAGGTTGGATGTGTGGGTGATGTTAATGAATAATGGCTCAGAATTGGAAATCGGAGAGCCAAGTTCCAATTCCAGTTGGGTTTGTTATATTCACTTATGTGCAAATACTCTTGGGATAGGCATGAAGCCACTCTTTACCCTCCAGTGTTAATTAGTAGCACTTGTATCAGTAAATCATTATTATCTCAAAAAAAAATCTTACAATCTAATTTCTGCTTTAAAAATAACCTGCAAAAGGTTGATAAGCCATAAAAAACAAATCAATCTCTCAATCAAAAACTAACTGTAAAAATGAAATGAACTAGACAAAAACATTGCAATAGTCACTGAATTAAACTTTTTAAGATTATTTTGAACTTTTCCATCAAGATCTGATGACTTGAACTTTGATAGTTTTGAGGACATTTATACTGATAATTTTTTTATATATTTTCAAAATATTATTGTTAAAGACTTATGCCCTGTCATTTTTTATTTTAGTCATTTGAAATATATTTTGAAAAGTAGTTTTAGTTTCTGTTTGAATTTTTGGGGTGAGCAGTTATCACTATTGACATTTGGACTAATGTCCTTATTTTTGTTGCTATTATTGCAACATCTTGGCTGCTATGTCTGCTGGACATCTTCAGGTGTCAGAGATTTTGGATAAACACCGCTTAAAGTTACTTGACTTAACAGGCTCCTAAAGAAAACCAGAGATTACAATAGTTGAAACATTGCGATAATAACAACAAAGATTAGGATATTAGTTCAAAAGTAAATAGTTTTAGTTTAATAAAATTATCGAGCAGAAAAGCTTTACTGGTTGACCCAACCACAGATAAGTGAAATTCTGAATACTGAGTTACTACTGTATTTCTAAATGTTTTTTTTTCCAGTTTCCTCAATTCTAAAATATTTCTTTCTTAATCAAAATAAATAAAATATAAAATATTAAATTGAATAAATTCATTTCTAAAGTAAATGTTCCATCAGGAGTGATAAAGTTTTTGGCAAACTTGAACCTTTCTGGCTGTCAAAAGGACAGTTTTTCCATTGACACTGGTATTATTTAACTATCTTCACTCCTCAGCAATATTTATTGTTTTAAAAGTGGTGATTAGAATTGTAATGAAACCTAAACGTGATGAAAGTGAATTGAGAATTTACAGTAAAAATATTAAACACTATTTATTTATTAGATTGTTTATTTACTAGAATAATTTTATATTTACAACATTCTAAGTATTAATACAATTGTATTAAAACTAATACTTCTTGTATAGCCAACAGCCACCTAGCACAATGGAATAGTCTATACTCTTTATCTATGTATGCAGCCAGTTGATGACATGATATCACTGGGCAGAGTGTTCCCTTGATGTATCTGTGACCAAGGCAAGTCTTAGTTGTAAGACTTTAGCTGTGTTTTGATTTGGAGAAGGATGAGCTCTGTCAGGTTTACCTCCCCAAGACATGGTATGCATGAATATTTCTCTGGCTTTCAATTCAGATATGTGGAAGGTACTGGTCCGGGGCTTAGTTATGCAGCAATCCAATGAACACACTCACTTATGAGATTGATGATGATGTTTGATCATGGCACTTTTTTTTGTAAAAAAAAAAAAAAAAAAAAAAAGAAAAAAAAAGTAACCTTTGTAGAACTTTTGTTTATACAAGAGGGTCTGTCTATATTTCTGAGATGAGGTATTATGTACATTATTTACATTATTCGGACTATTGTCCTCATCTTTGTCGCCATATTTATCACAACGTTTCTGCCGTTGTACGCTCCGGCCTTCTTCAGATGGTTGGAATGTCGAACTGAACTCTTTATTTCGCTCACCGGGGTAGACTTTTCTAGTTCCACGTGCCATGTTTAATGGATGTCAGTTATCAGTTATCTCCTGTTAATTTCCCTCTGAAAGTTCTCCACTGCCTTAACCGGGTATTGAACTCACACTCTTTGGGTCCTGTCACTGGATCTAACCAATACAATATGGGAACCAGTAATAAGGAGTGCCAGAGAAAAGCAATAAGTTGCAATATGAGCTCTGGTAAAAACATGAAATGATAACAGCAAAATTGCAATATGAGCACTGGTAAAAATGGTTGCTGAAGACATTAGGTTTATAATACCCAGAAATTCATACCCAGATGTCCTCAAGGACACATGGCACAGTGGATAAAGGCGTTGGTTAGATCCAGTGACAGGACCCAAAGAGTGTGAAAACTTTCAGAGGGAAATTAACAGGAGATAACTGATAACTGACATCCATTAAACATGGCACGTGGAACTAGAACAGTCTACCCCGGTGAGCAAAATAAAAGGTTCAGTTCGACATTCCAACCACCTGAAGAAGGCCGGAGCATACAACGGCCGAAACGTTGTGATAAATATGGCGACAAAGATGAGGACAATAGTCCGAATAATGTAAATAATATACAAGAGGGTGTTGAAAAATTCTTAACCCAAACTACTTTCAAAAATTAGTATTCTGATGTTTCATCATTGGAACAATGACATTGGAAAATGGGTTTAGCTGAGAACTTCCCAGCATCCCCTTTTATAGTTTTACATAAAATATGATTTTTTTCTTTTCAATTTGAATATGGTGTTCAGATTTCAAATTTTATAATTAACAATTAAGGTTCTTTTTTTTTTTTTTTTTTTACACTACTGAAATAGACTGGCCCACTTAAAAAAAAAAAATAGTAATAATATAAAAAATGTTTTTCAGTGAATATTTTTTTTTTTTTTTTTTTTGATTGGCACAGACCTTCCTCAAACTGACAATTTTCATAATCAAAGAATATTGATAATGTACTGATATTATGAACAGGTACCCATGCCTGTTCATAATATCAGTGCTGGGAAAAATTAATCCCTCACTTTTTACAGAGTTATTGGACTTTATTGTTATTTATTTTCAAAATATTGAAACCATGCTTACATCATTGATTACATTTTTTTAATTTTTCTCAATTTTTACAACTTTTTTTTTTTTTTTTTTTAAAGTTTTGTTAAAAACTTTTTTTGAGGTGTAGACATTTTTTTGGGAAGTACATATACCAACATTGCGGGATAATAATTATTTATCTTAAGTATAAATGAATATATACTTTTCTCAATTTATGTAAATTTATTTTAATTAAAAAAAATGTATATTATTTAAAATATCTCTTTGTAGCAAACAAAAAACAAAAAGAAAAAACAAAATCAATCACCAACTTATCTTGACTGCATACAAAAATCATTTTGTATACAGAACAATAAAAAGACAGGGATCAATTTTACACTATTAAGAACAGGACTCCATTTTCAAAATGATAAATTATTTTTTGATTCTGACAAATGTTGTCTCTTGTGAGAGATTAAAAATTTACAAAGATTATTTCAAAAAACATTTTTCTTTGTCTGTGTAACTAGTGTCATTCTTTTTTATTTGTAAAAATTATTAACAATATTTTAAAACCGTATCAACTTTTGTTAATCAGTCTCTCAGATTCTTGTAAACATCTAAACCATCACTCCTTGTTTGAGATGAGTAACTTGTTTTTATTAGCAACAATTTTCCTCTTTGATTCCTCCATTCTTATTGGATAGTATTTATATAGAATACACAGGCACATAATTTCATTCCTACCTGCATGTCCACATTGCCTGTGGCTTAGTTGCATTTAAGAAAGAAAAATAAAGACAAATTTAAATTTTGCTTTTCACTGATATGTTTGTGATTATTGTATTAATTAAGCCAGAGTTTCCCATTTCTTTTCTTTTTTTTTTTTTTTTTGCAGTTAAATCAAATACATAATAATTTTATATATATATATATATATATATATATATATATATATAAAAATATACGGAAAAAACAAACAAAATCCTAATATGCAATTATGCTGTTTTAATGTTAATATAATGTCAATGTCGGACGTTTCGGTCTAATAGACCATCTTCAGGACATATTCATAAGACATAATTAACATAGACCATATTCAATTCAACATAGAAAAAAAGACAATGGACATAAAACAAATCCAAACATATAGCTGAAATCTTTTATCTGTTTGGATTGGTCTTGCTTTTATGTCCATCGTCTTTTCATGTTTTTTTTGTTTGTTTTTTCCATATATTTTTCTTCATATTGTCGGATCTATATCCATATATTTGCGTACATATATATATATATATAAAGAAAGAACAGTAAGATATATAATCCGGTGTTCTTATTTGGAGCTTTCAGCTTCCATTTTTGAAACATGGTTAGAACTGTGTAGTGAAAAGAAAACATATTTTAAATCAATTAATTTATAATATATATATATATATATATATATATATATATATATATATATATATATATATAATGAACAATTTTAAAATGAATTAATAGAGAAAGAATGCTAAAAATATCATGACTGATCAGTTTGGAAAGATATCTATTTAAAGAAATGTACCATTTTATACTTTGTTTCCATCTTCCTATTAAGACTTTTTGGAAGAAAAAAAGTTTATTAAAATATGGAGTCATTTTTCCCTATTTGTGTTTGATTGCAAAAATTGAATTTTTTATCAGTTTTTGCTTCCACCAAATTTTTTTAATTTTATTTTTAATAAAATATTTTTTCCAAATTTATTTAAAAAAAAAATAAGATATTTGATTTTGTTTATGAACCATTTGTTTCCCTGACTTTGCAAAATTGTTTTACATTTATCAGCTCATCTTTGAGACTTTTATCCCAATGTTTTAGCTGGTCAGTTCTCCAGCCT